CGCCTCCCTGATTTCTTCTGTCGATTTCTCCAACTGCGCTGCGCATCACTAGTTCTATCATGGGTGCAAAACAAGAGTGGCCATGTGACATAATCGCATGTTTCCAAGATATCCATCGGCCAAGAAGCTGAAGAAAAACGCCGGACTCCAGCCCAGCCCAAGCGCACTATGCCACACAGCACTACAACATCAAAAGGCCACTGCGCTCCTATTTCCAAACTTCCGATAACATGAACTTGTTCCGACAATGACAGTACTGCATGAGTTGTCCCATGAGTCCCATGCTCACCACCCTTGTCAGCCTGAGTCCTGACCTGAAAGAAAAGCCAGGCGGGACAGCAGAATCAAACGAAAACATGCATCGCTCTCACGGGTCACAAAATGCATTCATGGACGTATCGCAAATTCCCACGCATACTCTGAAGCACGTCCGGTTTTTTTGAAGCAGGCGGTACGTCAGCCGGCTGTGAAATGATCACAACTTCAAACACCTGACCTGCTGCATGAAGGCGGCTGTTTGGCTGGCTTCGGTTAGGGCTTTAGTTTTAAGGTTTAGGGCTGAGGGTTTACAGTTTCGGGTTGACGATTAGCCGGGCTAGGATTCACTAAGTTACCAATGCTTCTAAGAAGATGTTTGAGTTAAAAATAGACCAAAACCCAGCACCCAACGTGATCGCCGCAGGAACAACCAGAAACAGAACCTAAAAACCAAGATACAACATCAATCGTAGGGATCCTCATTGGGTTGCGAACCAGACGAAGACGACACAAACAGAACTTGTGAGAGAAAACTCCTTCTTGTCGAGTAAACTGACACCTTTTATTGGCTTCCAACTTTAATCGTTAGCCCCATTTTGTTAACTATGGTTTTAGGCTTTAGGGTTTGCTCAAGCAGACAGCGGCAGGCAGCAGACATCAGGTGGCTGTGCATTTGCCTAAGCCGTACGACTCAGCAAGTCCCCGAGAAGGCTGCTGCGGCATTCCCATAGATGGAACCCTGCATATTGCCACGACCCCTTCGACGTGGACACTTCATTTTCCGTGTAGATCCCTTGCCATGGCCACGGCGGAGTCGTGCAAGTATGCAACCTTCTGGTCATTGTTGAAACACATGACACGACAGTGCGGATCTGCAGCGGTGCAAAACTCGAACGGGGCTTGGGAGGACAGCTCAACTCGAAGCCTGCACGACTCGGCATTGGAGACTTCCACCACGAGCTGGAAACGGATAACCCGGATGGGCTTGCAGAGAAAAGCATCTTGGACCTTGACATGTTTGTAGACTAGGTAGCCTTTCTCGCGGTTTCGCACCTCCAGGAGATACTTCGTGGTGGACAAGTTAGACCTCTTGAAAAGCATCCGCCAAAGCCCATCCACCTGCTGCAAAACGAAGCTCAAAGCCTGCGCCTGATTCTGGTTGAAGGGCCGCCAGGACAAACACGGCATGGCACTCGAAGTCATGAGCTCGGTTGCAATGCTTTCGAGGCTTTGGCCCGAGCTCGGCATGGGAGTAAACTCCCACTGCACCTCCGGATGCTCAGGTTCAGCCATCCTGCTGCTTCAGCCTGCATGCCGAAACTGGCTGGCAATCTTCCACTCACAATCACAAGGCACCAGGACACTACCGCACGGACCACAATGCTGCACTGCAGCATCAAAGGATATGACCAAGCACTACGACCATGAGCACAAGCGAATGCATTTTATCAGCGGCACCTTGTAGGAGCCGTGCCAATGAAGTCTGCAGTCTGCCACCTGGGCAGGATCACAGCTCAGCTCCCTGGCAGCACCTCGTTGCTGAGAGGCTGAGAGGGGCAGGGGAACGTCTGGTGAAGTCCAGTGGCCACCAGCGTTCTGCGACCTGGGCAGAACGAAGACAAACTGTATTCTTGCAGCACCTGATCGCTGAGGCATAAGCCGGGAAACTCCTTCGCCTTCAGCTTTCCCGCGACCTGGGCAGCGCAAGACAAAGGTTTAGGACTCAGGAGGACAGGAAAGGAGAAGTAAGCCAAAAAAGAAGACACTGCAGTTTTCAAAAACTCACGCAACTCTTGCGTCATGCGATCATGGCCGAAAAGCCCTAAGCCCAGAAGATATATACACTTGATCAGAGCCATTTGGCCGAGAAGGTTGCAGCCGCAGCGAAGCAAATCAATCACGAGTCGAAGAAGCCG